GGCTCGTAGCGATGCTGCAAGGACGTGGTTCGGCTCGGCCCGAAGGTGCTGTGTATTGCGAAGAAGGCAGGCTAGTCTTTTTCTGCATTCTGGTAACCGGTTGTGGAGGCGTGGCGGATTGACGAGATGCTGGGTTTTGGCGATACGGAGATGCCGTGCAACCGGTGGAAGCACCAAGCTCTGGCTTGTTCATCCTTGCAGCGGCTAAGATGCATGACAAAGAGGGGTTGCATCTCAGTGCTTGCATTTGAGTTTGGGCGTGAGCGGCAGAGCCATGTGGGTTTTCAGCCGTTTCTGTCCGCAGTCGACATCCGCGACCAACGCACAACTGGCAGACTGTTACGGCCCATAGCACCGGCGGAGATGGGTGCGGTGAGACGCGCGAGCGCCTGCAGACGGGAGTGGTGTAACGAGGCGGTGAGGGTGGCTCTACCCCATGTCGTTGATTCCAGCTGGTCGTTCGGAGGGTATATCTGTTCTTCCGTTTTAAAATGCGAATGATTCGCATGATTCGCGCATGTGCAGATACTACATTGGGACGGGAGCTCGACGGAAGTGAGCGACTGCGTCACGCAACAGGCAGTAGGCCCTATGTCTAGGTTTTGGGATAGAACAGGAATGAGAGAGCAGAATAGACGCGAGACTGGATGCTCCCGCAAAAGGGCCATAATGCGTTATGCGTGTTGGGGGCAGGTGCCATGCAGCTGCAGGCGGCAGGGCGAGTTGTTTTGCAGGCGCTGCGTTTGGCATGCACAAAAGGACTGAGCTGCAAGGCTAGTGGGACAGGCTGAGCATTTATTTCCCGGCGTGCGGCTAGAGTATTGAAGTGAGTTGGTCAAGCGACCAATTGCGGAGGTGAGATTCGCCGATTTGAATACTGCTTCGTTTGCCGTCTGCTCAGAACGTGTGTAGTTCGGCGCCTTCGGTGGTCAAGATTGAACGGAGCTGCGTCGTGCCCGGTGCGTGCGTTGCGTGCATTGAGCGGTGCGGGTGGGGTCTGGCCGGACTATGGCAGGTATATACGACAGCGCAAAGCCTCATGCGCGATTAGAAGGTCACTGCAATACGTGTTGGTGTTTGCAGTGTTGGAGGCAGAGGTTTCGCCGTGTGGGGGAGCTGATGCATGTTTGGCTGTAGGGTTCGTGTGGGCCGGCGAAGAGTTACAGATGGTTTAGGCGCGACGCAGTAGCCTATCCACGCAAGCATGCCACAAAGGTTGGCTAGCACGTCAGCTGTGTATACAATATATATGCTTTGCACCGTTGGTGCAGTCGGACGGTTCGTTGGCGCAGTCGAAAGGTTCGGCGGCTACTGGGACTCTAGCAAGACTGTTGAACGGGACTGTCGCTAGCATTGGCTCGTAGCGATGCTGCAAGGACGTGGTTCGGCTCGGCCCGAAGGTGCTGTGTATTGCGAAGAAGGCAGAATCGTCTTTTTATGCATTCTGGTGACTGGTTGTGGAGGCGTGGCGGATTGACGAGATGCTGGGTTTTGGCGATACGGAGATGCCGTGCAACCGGTGGAAGGATCAAGCTCTGGCTTGTTCATCCTTGCAGCGGCTAAGATGCATGACAAAGAGGGATTGCATCTCAGTGATTGCATTTGAGTTTGGGCGTGAGTGGCAGAGCCATGTGGGTTTTCAGCCGTTTCTGTCCGCAGCCGACATCCGCGACCAACGCACAACTGGCAGACTGTTACGGCCCACAGCACCCGCGGAGCTGGGTGCCGTGAGACGCGCGAGCGCCTGCAGACGGGAGTGGTGTAACGAAGCGGTGAGGGTGGCTCTACCCCATGTCGTTGATTCCAGCTGGTCGTTCGGAGGGTATGTCTGTTCCTTCGTTTAATACTGCGTATGATTCGCATGATTCGCGCATGTGCAGATACTACATTGGGACGGGAGCTCGAAGGATGTGAGCGATTGCGTCACGCAACAGGCAGTAGGCCCTATGTCTAGGTTTCGGGATAGAACAGGAATGAACGCGCAGAGCAGACGCGAGACTGGATGCTCCCGCAAAAGGGCCATAATGCGTTATGCTTGTTGGGGGCAGATGCCATGCAGCTGCAGACGGCAGGGCAAGTTGTTTTGCAGGCTGTGCGTTTGACGTCCTCAAATGAAACGCGCTGCAAGGCTAGTGGGACAGGCTGAGCATTTATTTCCCGGCGTGCGGCTAGAGTATTGACGTGAGTTGGTCAAGCGACCAATTGCGGAGGTGAGATCCTCCGATTTGAATACTGCTTCGTTTGCCGTTTGTTCAGAGAGTGTGTGGTTCGGCGCCTCCGGTGGTCAAGGTTGAACGGAGGTGCGTCGTGCCAGGTTAGTGCGTTGCGTGCATTGAGCGGTGCGGGTGGGGTCTGGCCGCGCACTATGGCAGGTTTGTACGACACCTGAAGGCCTCATGCACGATTAAAAAGCCACTGCAATACGTTTTGGTGTTTGCAGTGTTGCAGGGAGGGGTTTCGCCGAGTGGAGGAGCTGACGCTTGTTTGGCTGTAGGGTTGGTGTGGGCGGGCGAAGAGTTACAGATTGTTTAGGGTCGACGCAGTAGCGTATCCACGCAAGCATGCCACAAAGGTTGGCTAGCACGTCAACTGTGTATACAATATATATGCTTTGCACCGTTGGTGCAGTCCGAAGGTTCGCTGGCGCAGTCGAAAGGTTCGGCGGCTACTGGGACTCTAGCAAGACTGTTGAACGGGACTGTCGCTAGCATTGGCTCGTAGCGATGCTGCAAGGACGTGGTTCGGCTCGGCCCGAAGGTGCTGTGTATTGCGAAGAAGGCAGACTAGTCTTTTTATGCATTCTGGTAACTGGTTGTGGAGGCGTGGCGGATTGACGAGATGCTGGGTTTTGGCGATACGGAGATGCCGTGCAATCGGTGGAAGCACCAAGCTCCGACTTGTTCATCCTTGCAGGGGCTAAGATGCATGACAAAGAGGGGTTGCATCTCAGTGATTGCATTTGAGTTTGGGCGTGAGTGGAAGAGCCATGTGGGTTTTCC